TGGTTTTTAAAAAAGTAAAGTTTTTAAAGTGACTGAGCACAGACAGTCATAGATTAAAAGGAATAAAGAAAAATAAGTCACATAAAGATAGAATATACACAGAAAGTCTGGATTATGTATACTATTGTGTTTTCTTTGAATTTTTTTGACTGCAGAGAGATATTTGATTCTGGGAACTGCTAAGCTAAGCCAACATATATATTTTAAAAATATCTTGATTTTAAAATATGGGTCTAAGGATAAGTTGCTTTGGAAAAGAGGTGCTTCTTTTGTTTCCACAGAGGATGAGGACCTGTGGAATCCTTCCAGACTAACGTGGTTTGATGGACAAAGATCCCCCCAAAAGGTCACCATGAACACCCCCAAAATACTTTGCCCAACAAAAAGCAGAAAGCAGTTTGAAGAGAACTACTCTCAAATTCCCAAATACTGTTTATAAATATTTTTTTCACATTTAAAGGGGGATATGCTATAGAGATTTGCATTGGTATGGATCTTGCTTTATTAATACAAATTTAAGGTCAATTTTGTTATATGTATATTTTTACTCTTGATTAAGGTATTATGTTTTGTGCAGCTCATTTAAAAATATAATGTATAATTAAGAAATATAGGTTAATAGATAATCATCTATAATAGTCAAGCATGTAGTCATGTTAGTTAGATTTTATAGATATACAGAGATGTATTTCAGATGAATAGGTATTCTTTAAACCTTTCAAAGACTACAAAATATGGTATTTAAAATGTTTTAATAATTTAGGACTTTTCATGACAGTGAGACACATCTGCTCCCATAAGAACCAATTACTTCAAGAGGAAGATGGGCATTGAAGAGGCTCCTTATGGAGTTTGCTAGCCATTTGGGCAAGAAACTGCTCTTGCATGGACTGCTTGATGTTATGCTGTGGGATCTGGACATGCAGGATCCATCGAGAGATGACTGCTGAACTTGCCTAAAGGTGAGATAGTCCTTTGGAGTTCCTGCTTCATGAAAGAATCTGCTAGACGTTCTGCAGGACACAGAAAAAAAGTGACTGATAAACTACCAAGATAGGTGGAACTGTTTTTGAGATTTCCTGATTTATGGGAAGTCTACTGGATACTATGGGCCAGTAGGGTGAAGATGGGTTCCTCAATGACACAGAAGAACTTTGGGTGAATGTCCAGGCAGTGAGATGTCTCTGTCATTTCTAGAGTTTTGGAAGTTGCTTACAATGCACTTCTTGTTTACTTAGGTAATATTATATACTTCTGGAGTCTTTGATGGAGTTGAAGAATAGATAGTTATAATTAGTTTTCCATAGTTATGATAAAAAATAAAGTAAATATAAATATTGTAACTGTAATTCTTCCTTGATACCTGTTTTGTTATATGTACTTTTACTATATTAAAGTTAAAACTGTCCTTTTTATTTAAACAGAAAAGGGGAGGTGATGTGGGATTCCCTTCTATATGCTGTGAATACCATTGGTTAATAAAGAAACTGACTTGGTCTGATAGCACTGAGTAGAGCTAGGCAGGGAAAACTAAACTGAATGCTGGGAGAAAGGAGGCGGAGTCAAAGAGAAGCCATGTAGCCCTGCCAGAGACAGGTGCCAGAACTTTACCTGGTAAACCTCAGCCTCATGGCTATACACAGATTAATGGAGATGGGTTAATTTAAGATGAGTTAGCCAGATATACACTTAAGCTATGGACCAACAGTGATTTAATTAATACAGTTTCTGTGTGGTTATTTTGGGAGTCTGGGTGACCGGGAAACAAACAAGCAACCAAGCAGCCTCCTACAGCACAGTGAGGTTTATAATACGCTGCATCCGGGAGGGTCTGCCATGTGCCCTGAATGCCCTCCACACTGAGAGAACCAGGACAGGAATAACACACTTCCCATGTCTTCAATACAAAATAATTTATGATTTTTAAGAAAAACATGGTTTTCTCACCATTGCTACAGACATAAGTATGACACTTGAAATTAATTCTTAAAAGGCTGTGTGGGAGACCCAGATATGTCACCCCTAAACAGGAATGATTGCTGAGTCAAAAGCAGCAAAGACAGGGTACATGCAGGAGAGCTCTGCCCTCTGTCCACCTGCCTAAAGACAGGATACACTCAGAAAGACAGTAGACTCGGCTCCAACCAACGTGCACAAGCTCACATTCTCCTGCCATGAGAGCAGGCTGACCACATATTACAACTTTGGACCTTAGGCCCATCCACCCAAACGTGCTCCATTTTTGCCCCATTCTGCCTGTTATTTGCTCTGCTCAGGTCACCACACCTGGATACTCAAAGTCCTTTTCCATTGCCTAGCCACTTCTCAAGGCCTGTGCTGCCACTTGAAGATGTTATATAAGCTGGAATTCAAAGCCAATTCTTTGAGAGCTCCTTATTCTCTGTGAGTCTCCCACGAGTGTATGAGATATACATGTTAGTAAATTTCTATTTGTCTTTGCTTGTAAATCTCTCTTTTGTCATAAGGGTCTCTTGCAAACTAAGAATCTATAAGGGTTGAGAAAATGCTATTAATCCTATATAACTCACACACATTCACCAACATGTCAATCACATTATATCGAAGCTTATGGCTTAATTTCTTAAATTATAATTACTAATCAAAAGGTAGATTAAAAATCAGAGGATAATTTTTATACAATAACACATTTGAAAAAATCTTCTGAATTTAGTTGTTGATAAAAAACGATTTAAAATTCTAAGAAAATATACTTCAAATGTTAAAACTACCCAACATGTATTTAAGCATAATCAAGCATTTTCAGACATAAAGTATTCAATAGTCATTAAAAAAATAATGGTATCTACATAAGCATACATTCATCCTAAATTCATGGTTTTGCTTGTTGGAAAACATACCTACTTAAGTGAGAAATCAGCTTATTTGACAAGTTATAAATCAAGACAGTAAAATATTTATTTTCTAGGAAGCTTTCACATACAGCTTCTTAATAATTTATTTAAAATGAGAAATCTAAGCCTTTTTAATCCTGTGCAGTTGAGAATAACACCTTAGCCAATAGACTAAGCTTTATTGTTCATTCTTTAGAAAAATGGCCTCAGTGAGAAACATGTCATAGAAGTCCCCTCTGCAGACTTCCTTACATCTACTAGAAAGTCTGACATCGTAGTCAAGACTTTAGAAACATCTGGAAATGCTTTTATTTTGTTTTTTGTTTTTTCTTTCTTTCTTTTCTTTTCTTTTTTTTTTTTTAGTGTGTATTAAGTGTTTAGAGTAAGGGGTTTCCAGACACAGAAAGACAAACATTGCATGGTTTCACTCCTAACGAGTCCTAGCATCTTTAGACTTCCGTGTCTAACTTGGAGGGCCTGTGGAATTTAGGGGTGTCTCAGAGAATCCCAAAGAAATGTAGGATATTGTCATTTGCTCTTGGTTGCCCACTGGAACTTGATGATAAGACTCTGTTGCTGAAGAAACTTGGGTCACAGGACATGGAGAAATCAAGTAGGCACTGACTAGGGAGGTTCCTCCTTGCTGCCTGTCTTTCATAATGCCAGAAGTTGCTATGCAGGCTTTTGGGGTGTCTGTCACTCATCAACAGTCTTATTCAGCAGTGAGCCTAGTCAGCTACTGTATCGAGTGCCAAGGTGAGATGTGCCCACAGGTGCCACAGCGGCATGAAGGTTTTGGGAGTAACCCGCTGCTTTCTGCTTTGTTTTAAGGCCTGTCACAGGGCAAAACTCATGTCTGCTATGGTAAACGTGGCTAAGAATCCATGGTTGGGGATTAATGCCCAGAGGGTGACTTTCTACAGTGATTTTGCTAAATGGAAATAGTATCAGATTGCCCTCTAACTTTGTATCTCTATACCTAGATTAGTGCAGTTCTCAGATCTCCTGAGGAAAGTTTCTGTGTGCAGTGAAGGCCAGTTAATGCGGAAAAGCACAACCTGTCAATGTGCAGTGGAGTGTTCAGCCAGCCACACATGTGACAACTATTATCACACCCCTTCTCCCTGAGCCTCTGGGTGGCAGAAGAGGGGCCAAAAAAAAAAAAAAAAAGGGTAAGATCCAGAGATTGGTCAATGGGAGCGGAGCACTGTCTTCTGGACATCACCCGATGCTCTGACATTTCGCCCCAAACTCTGGTGTGTATCTAGACTCCCAAGAGACTTGCTAGTCATCTTCCAGGACATTTCTTTTTGCCTTCTAGACTGACTCACCTGAAATTCAAGTTCTTTCTGCAGGACTGGAACCTTTTTCATTGCATGATTATGATACAAACGTTTAAGATGCTTAAGCACTGTGGTAGAGTGTGCAGTCCCTACAATTTACGGATTGACTGGGTACCAAGTGCTCCCTGCAAGGTCCCATTTAGTTTGAAGGTACTCATTGCCACTTTCCTGATAAGGAAAGCAGGTTTTATTTGAGGCTAAGAAAGTTGGAGGTATGAGGGAGTCTGCCTCTAATAGTACATGCTTGAGACAATGCCACAGAGTAACGCGGAAACACTTGCTGCTGCCTTATCTATGGCGTCAGGTTCCTTCAACCCCAATGTCAGCTGGAACGGGATCGTGCAGCATGCCAGGGGTGGGCTCTAATGCAGGATTCTGCGCGGTGGGGGGACTGCGGGGGGTGGGTAAGGGGTAGGGTGCTCAGGTTGGGTTGAAAAGGCACTTCCAGATCAAGAATACCTTACAGTCTGGGAAATCTGCCTAAGCAGGACCCAACTAACAGGAGCCAACCGACTCCCGCGACCAAGTCCCCTCACTTCCCGCTCTAATGTGCTCAAAACTGCTGGAAGGCTAGGGGCGGCGGGCGCATCATCGCCATAGCCTTCCGCCTTCCCACTCGCTCTGGGCGCACGTGCTTAAAGAGTCCCTGCCCCTCCCGCCTCCGCGCTCGGGGCCGCAAGTTTCCTCCGAGAGGCGGGCGCGCACCGCGTCTCCTCGCCGCCGCTTCCCGGGCCCCCAGCGCCGCAGTCTCCGCCCTCTGGGAGGGCGCGCTTCGGAGCCGGCAGGGTGGGGCGCCTCGAGGGAGGGGTCCCAGCGCCGCAGTCTTCGCGTCGCCCGCGACAGCAGCAGCAGGTGGAGCCCCACTCAGTCGCGAGCAGCACTTGGCCGGAAACCCGAGTCGCGGCCGTCCGGCCGGGAGCTGGCCCGCTAGGCTGGAGCCCACGCCGCCCCGGTCCGACCCAGTTTCCCAGGCACCGGGTTACGGAAGCCGGCGGCCGGGGGACAGCGGTTGGGGCCGGGGCCGGATGCATCTCCGTGCGCACAGCTGCGTTGGAAGACCCCAGCCCAGGGTGCAGGACTAACGGGACCTGGCTCGCCTGGACCGCCACCTAAAGACTTGTGTTCGGGGACAGATCGGCTGTGGGATTGAGGACCTCGGAGCCCCCGCATCTGGCCGGACGCTCCCAGAGTCTGGGTGGCGCGCTCGCTTCACGGCTCGAGAACGGACAGAGGCTCTTTCCAGGGGACCGGACCTCCTCGCTTGGTCCTCTATGGAGTCCTCGCACCCGATGCCTGTTGGTCTCAAGCACCTCCCTAGTTGACACAGGTCTGCAGGTGTTCTCTACTGGTTAGATTTCTTCTTTGACTAGGGGAACAGTTGCCGCCAGCGACATTCTGTGCCCGTGGCCACTCCACGTCCTGGGTCTCCTGTCCTGCCCGTATCTTGCCGGCTTCACTGAACCTCAACTCTGCCTTTGCTTGTTGTGCGTGCTCCTAGCCTTTGGCTTTACCAGGAGTGTGCAGACGTTTTCCTGGCCCCCATTTGGGAGGGCACTGGTCTCCAGGGAACGGCTTTGTGTGTGGTGGGATAGGGGTCCTCAACCATGGCCTTCACTTTCGCTGCTTTCTGCTACATGCTGTCCCTGGTGCTCTGCGCTGCGCTCATCTTCTTCGCTATCTGGCACGTAAGTAACCTGCTACCGGCTTCTAACTCTCATTTGCCCCCCTCAACCCCACCCAGGCCCACCTCGTTTTCTCTTTTCACCTGCCTTCTACACATGGCAGGCGTGGGCGGACTGTGAGGCCAGATAGAAGCATTTGGTGAGCAGACCTTGTCCATCTCCCTTGTCCCGGGGCAGGAGACACAATTCTTGACATCCCCGAGGCCAGGAGGTACAGGTACTGGGCAGGTGCACCCTCTTAGCCTGTCTGGAGCTTGTGCCGCGCAGAGGATCTGCGCGGGGCACTCTCCTGGGCGTGGCAAGGTGTCCCGGGCCAGGCCGGTTCGAAGTAGTGGCTTTAAAACCCCATCTGCCGGTCTTCCCCCTCCCCATCCCCTCCTGCAGGAAAGAAGAAGCGCTGCCGGTGGCCCAGGCAATTAGTCAAGTAACTATAACAACTAAACATTTAAAATGTCAGCATCTGTGGTGGGTTGCGTTCAGACATAATTGGAGACAAAGTGGAAACACGACCAGAGCGCCTTGTAAGAGGAAGGAGAGAGAGGCCAGGCGGGAGGAAAATCAAGAGGGATGGGAGTTAAGAAGAGAGTGGGAGGAAGACCAGGATAAACAAGGTTCCAGGTGTTGTAGATCTGGTCATGTCCATCATCCCTGGGGCCCTGGCTTCCTCCCAGTGTGGAGAGCAGATGGGTCATAGGTCATCAAGTATGGTGTGGTGTGGTGTGGTGGAGCCCAGGACTCCTGAAGAGCAGCAGGTCTCCTATGGACTGTCACATTTCACAAACCCTTGACCCCTTAGCTTCCTTCTGAGGCTGGTTAAGGTCCTGGGGAGAATGATCAGAAGGGCCAAGGTCCAAGTGACTGACACCCGCTGTTGACAGCTTTGCCCTTCCAGCAGGGTGGGGCGATGGGAGGGTCCCTGAGACCAACTCCTGGAAGCTCTGAGGAACCTTGGAGAGCTTGTGTACAATAGAAGACCCAGAAGGGAGAAGACTGGGGAGTAGTTGAAATGCTGGTGTTTTGTCTGAGTGGTTTCTAGTGTGAGAGGGTTTGTCTTAAAATAGAACCCTGCATCTCCTGCCATAAGTGCTGTGGCAAGGAGCAGAAGGGGAGTGTCTGGGGAGGAGGAAGGGGCTTCTAACCCCTGGATTCTGAAAAGACCCTGTAGAGCACATCTAAACGTCCCCCTCTTTCTAAGATTGTGTAATCACTTATCAGTTGGTTTAGGAATGGATTCTGATGCAGGAATTTGGGGGCTGATATAAAAAGTCTTGTAAGTTAGGTGTAATGGGGTTTGTTCTCTCTGCCCTGGAATGTTGGGTCTATTCTATTGTGGACAGGGGGATTTGAGGCCCTTGGCAATTGCTAAGAAAAAAATGAAACCATACCAGGTTTAGGATAAAAAGGGGTTCAGGGTAGCCAGTGCCCAAGTATGCAGCAGAGATCTGCTTCCATGTTCTAAAAGAACTTCCTCGGCTTCTTTGGATTTGGAGTGGGAGCCACATTCTTGAAGGCTAATACTTAATTTGCCTTTCCTTTCTGGTTTTGCTTTGTCTGGAGGGTAGCAGATCCCGAGAGCACCCCAAACTCCTTCAGACTTGGTGCTCACTGCATTGGCTCCTGAAGCAGGGTGGGTCCCAAGAAAGAATTCTCTTCTCTCCCACAGGGTGCACATGGGTGGGGATGGGGTGGGGAATAAACACTTCAAGAACAAGTTAATTAAGTGGATGGTTTGTGCAGCTAAGTTGACCAAGTGACGTCTGAATGTCCTAGCGATCCTGTGCTGGCCTCTACCCCCAACCCTCATGGCCCAAACTGAGGGAGTACAATGTAGTCAAATCCCAAGTCAGGTCCTGTTGACAGTTAGTGGAAGTGACAGGGTGACAACAGGCACAGTCCCTGTTTCCTAATCCTTTCCTTCTCTCTCTGAGTCAAGCAATCCAATCCCCACCAGTGATTTGATTCCTGAACACCGAAAGGGGCACTCAGATAAGGTCTGATTTCCTGACACACACACTGTGTGTTTGTGGATATTGGTTGAATGGTGGTAATTATATCAACCTAATATTTAGGAGAGTTAGTAGATGGTGCATTTGCCTTCTTTCCAGAATCTTACATTTCTATACATTTCCTGGTCTGATGAGTCATATTGATTGCTTAGCATGTATTGGCATCCCAAACAATGAATCCGCATTTAAAACGCAGTGGTTAAAATGTCTGCACCCGCTGGGCCAGAAGAGATGCAGGCTGTAGGTTTTTTCCCTTCTGTTTATCTGTCCATGCACATACCTACTTAAGGGAAATAACGGAAGTTCTTGTTTACCCAGTATGTAGTCCTCCACCCTCCAACCTGTGTAGTCTGGAGAAGACCTGTCAGGTGTACCTCCAGTTACCCCCACCTCCCCTCCCCGACCTCCCTGGATATCTAGAAGCAAAGATGGATGTGGCTCGTCATAAGCACATTTAAATATTGATTTTTTTGCTTTGGAAATCTCTCTGCACTGTTTTCACATGAAATTATTTTCCATCAGCCACTGCATTTGGGTACATTTGTCATGGTTTGCAGAAGTGGAGTGAGACTGAGCTTTTTGTTCGTTTGTTGGAAACCATGGCTTTGTGTTCTTCGTGGATATTGCCTCTAGCATGCCAGGGCATCGTTTAGTCCCCACAGATGACTTTTTTACACAGGAAGAAACTCTAGTTCTGAAACTTGCCCAAGCTTGTGCAACTAACTTGCTTGTGTTGGACCTGGGATTTGATTTGAGTCTGTGAGACTCTTACGGTCAAACCCTTTCCCCAACTGTAATCACTGGCTTTGAATTATTGATTTAATAATATTTTCTACCCAAAACATTACCTTCTATGTCAGTAAGATGTTTAGAATTGGAACTTATGATTGGAGTACAGCAAGGTTCAAAACAGTACACATCTTCCCCCTCCCTTGTACCTTTTGTTTTGTTTTGTTTTGTTTTTCAGAGTATTGATATATAGTCCGGGCTGGCCCAGAACCCACCCTCTTCCCATCTCTATTTCCAAAGTGCTAGAATTATAGGCATCTACTACTACACCTAGCTCTGCGCATTCCTCTTTAAAAGAAGAAATTCTACTTCATCTTCTTAAAAAGTAGACTTGCTTATGAAAGCCAAAGGGTAGAGGTTCATTTCCAAAAAGTTTGAAAATACAGCCATATGCAAGGGAACAAAAGTCACCCGCACCTTTCCATTCAGAGAAGACTGGGTGTTTTTAAATGCATTTAAAAGGCTGCATTTGGATGCATCCCACGAGTGTCTTGAAAGGTTTGCTCCACGGAGCGATGTCTGTTTCCAGCCAGCCTGAGATGAACAGTGTTTACTCACAATTCAGAATTTTCTCTGCTCCAGCTTGGCCAAGCCTGTTTGCAGACGGTCTCCTTACATAAACACAGATGAAGCTGTTCTGTGAAAAGATCAAAGATGCATTACCGCTTATTCCAGGCTTTTAGTTTTCCAGGTTTTTAATGTCTAGAGTCCCCCTGAACTTCGGCAGTTAACAAATAAAATTAGTCCCCAGTGATGCTCTCTAGAAAGGCTTGATGTGTCGCCCCATCTTGAAATGGCTTTGGGCTCTGGCCGGCATTGACCCTTGGAGTTTGAGTGCACCTCACGGGTGATAATGAGTCCTAGTCCACTGAAGGAAAGTTTTACTAGACAGCATCTTCATGGCTGGACTTTTCGGCCAGTTCTAACCTGTCAGACCCATCTACGGGGAATACATCTCACTTTCCTCAGTTATCCATCTTTAAGGAGAAAGGTGGGAGTGTTTTGTGAAACCGGATACTTGGGGGGTTCATTTTTCTTGGATATCCTCTTTGACCTGCTCTGAGCCAGGGACAGCACAAGCCCCTGCCAGTCCTTCCCTGGCCTCCACTGCTGGTCTGTTTGGATCAAGCCATTCTCTAGCTTCCAGAGCCAGTCACCTGCAGCGGCTGCCTGTCCACTCTGTCCCCTGCCACCCCACAGACATAGAGCCACCCACATGTGGGTGGGAGAGCCACCCACATAGGAAGAGAAGGGCCGTTACTGCCCATCCTTGTTCTCTGTGGCTGAGGATGATCCCGGGGCGCGGAGGAGCTTCATAAGTTTACACTGGATTCTCCTGCCCTTCTGCCTGGCCCATTTCTGACTGCCCTTGGGGACCACACCCTAGGCAGCCAGGGGGCACACATCCTATTCTGGACTTTGGTGCTTTGGAACCTGGAGAACTGCAACTGATGCCAAAAAGGACCAACCATTCCAGGAGACTCAGAGTCCTTGATAACAGTGGGCAGTCCTCCTGCAAGGGAAGCAGAGGAGGGGGGAGGAGGAAGACAACGTGAATCTGCTGGGCTCCCTCTGTCCAGTGTGATATGTTACCTCTGGCCAGGGGCCGGGGAGCACTGGTGAACCCGGAGGGCTCCCCCTGTCGGTTGTGATATTCACTTCTCATTTCAGCTTGTGTTGAGTGTTGGCTGGCCACCTCCCAAAGCCAGTCTTGTCATCATTGTATGCCCATCAATCATGCTGTAAGAGCAGCGGAGGGAATAGAACTCAGAGGCTCTGGAAACATGCCAGTGCTGGCTGGCAGAGCCTCATCAGTCACTGATGTTTCCAGGCTTCCTAAGCTTGGATGTGGCAGAGGCCCCAAGGCAGGTTTTCTCTAACTCTCTGGTCTCCGAACAAAGGCAGGTGAAGCCATGGGGTTTCTACCTGAGCCAACCCTGAGAGCACATCGGACTTCACTCTCCTCCTGTCCCCTCCAGTCACCGCTCTCTTTTGTCTACTGTGTGTTCATGCGACTCTGCCCTCCATTCTTTGGGCCAGTTTTCTGCTTCGGACTTTCTTCCCACAAGGTGAGAAGTGCCTAATGTCCCCGTCAACGTGCTGTCTGATGGTGTCTTCTCCATTCTTTGCTGTCACTGTCTTTTGCCTCTATGGGTTACTCCCTGCAGGACCCACCAAGGATCTGGGCCTAGTCATGGTCACATCCTC